TTAGGCCTTCATTCAAAAGGTGCAGTGTACTGGTAGCATGATTAACAATCATGTACTCATATGTATTATTTTACACATTATATTAAGCACGTCTTCCTTTTCCATCAGGATTCAATGCCAACAAATGCAATAGAAAAATCTAATTGAATTCAGTGACCTTTAATGGTACTTTTTGTATTTATACTCTCAATTTCTGGCAAATATATTATTACTCATCATATATAGGCTGCTCTGACAGTTTGCTTTACTTACATGAATAGTTCCACATGGATACTTTATTGCAAGGAATTTTGGGAGTCACTAATAGCTGGACAAGGGACACTGATTACTGAATTCCTGTCTCTGTTTTCAGTTTTGGACTGACTAGTATGTTTATATGATGCAGAAGTCAACCACAGGATGCCTAATTCATACTTACAGCAGTGCATGTTCCTATTATTTTGTGTAATAATATATCATTTACTTTATAAAGACTTTTCTCATTCTATTTTATCAGTGGTTCACAGACAAAGTTAGAAACAAGTTGAACATCAGGACTTGTAATTTTTCTAAGCCTTGTCTTCAAATCTTTCCTCTGTCCATATTAATTATAAATTGCATTCATTACACTGAACACTATTTATTTGCTTCTTCTGTTTATCTGTTTTGCCTATCTGTAATACCACAGTGGGAATGGCATGTACAATGACAAGAAAATGACCCGTGTCAAACAAAATAGATGGTTTGCATGCAGATAAAAAAAGCAAAACCAAAATATTTGCAGCATAAATAATATTTTTTCCATCTTTTGTTTTCCCATTGTTCAATATGAATTAAAGATCTAAACATCTCAACTGCTACCAGCAAAAATTCTGCATCTATTCCTCTATCAAAAGATGTGATATTTAATAACTTTCCTCACTGCTTCTTCTCCAAGATATGAACAGAATTTTTATTTCTCCATAAGAAGGGAAATTGTATTTTAATGTCCTAAAACCTTAATTCAGCTTAGTCTGATTGGATTTTTTTTAATATGTAAATGTCTCGTTCTTCCTGTTGTGCTTTTTATTAATGCATGATATTTCTCTTCATGAAAAAAGAAAAAAGAAGTGAAAGTAGTAGCAGAGGAAAATACACTAAATATGAAGGAACAAATAACCTGCTAAAGGCAGAGGTGAACAGGCCTAATAAGAGGCCCCATTTTAATAGTTCAGTCTTAACAGATTACCACAATGTCACCCCAGAAAAACACCTTAAATATAATGATAGCAAATTTTTCAGTGGTACTGGCAGGTATTTACTTTCAGGTTTTATTCAGCCACCTGGCTGAATAAAGCCACCAGCTTTTATTTTACTTTAAGGGACCAAGAGGTAACTGTAAATAAGACTGAAATTCCCAGGGTAATTCAGTTCTAGAAGAGAGGTTCAAACAAGCTGTCCCTAATCCATCTGTGTCAATATATAGTTAAGCTCTGAATCTCCTTATCACAGCTTGTTTCAGATGCTGAAAGTTTGCATGATTTCCAAAGTCAACTACACAAATTCATATAAGAAAAGTCCATTGAGAGTTATTGTATATGCCAGACAACCAGAGCAAAAAGTCAGTGAGGCACAAATGGTTGCATGATGGATGAGTATTCTTCAGTGGAATCACTTACAAACTTCCATAGGCATCCGCTTCTTGACTTTTTGATAATAGGACTCTGAGCTGAGGTGTGACCCAGTCAGATCACTCTCATGTTCTTATGCATCAAAATAATTGAGATGGCACATGTTACTTTCTGAGGAAAGCTCCCCAACACAAGTAGCTCACTGAAAGTGTACATGTTCAGTAGAAAGGCTGCCCACCTGAGATACTTAAATTACTATTTCCCACTTAGCTACATTTGAGAATTATCAACAAAACATTCTTAATTTTCATGTCCAGCTCTTCATGTCCATCCAGCTCTTCTGGGTGGATTTGAATTTACTATCTGTAGGCACCTTCCCTGAAGAAACTGGTTGATACCTACCTCTTGAGCAATGGCCTAATGATTAGAGTACATCCAGGAACTGTGTCACCTGGATTTTGATCAAGGCCCACAGGGTTGGGCAACACAGTTAGCACTTCTACAAAGAGCATGCTAGTCTAGAATAGAAGGTTCCCATTTTGTACGGTATTCAGGAGAGGTCTTTTTTGTCTGAGTTGAAAGCTGGGATCCCAGGAGTACAGATTCTAGGAGGGCGGGAGATCTAGCAAGAGTGAGGCTCTCTTGGGAAGCAAAGGAGAGTACTCCGGCAAAATTCAGGGGTGTGATTTACTTCCAGGCCATTGCTGGCATGCACTTCATTGAAAAGCAAGAGAGGAAAAGTAATGAGGAGTCTAGACAGCAAACTCTTGTATCTCTGTGGCCTTGGGGATATATGAAAAGTCTTTTAATGTTCTTCTGTATACATGTCTACATTTAAGTCAAATAATATAATAAATGGAAATCAAAGCCTTCTTTGCTGAATAATTTTTATATTCATTTAATAATTTCCTATTTAGAGCATGAGTTTTGAAAGGTTTCTCACATTGCTACGTCAAGGAAGTCAAGGATGGTCTGTTTCCCCAAGCTTGACACCACTGAAGTGGAAGCAACAGGAGGGAAGGGGTGAGGAGGCAGCAGGAGGACAGCTACTGATGACAAAGCAATCTGCATTTTCCTGTGGAAGGCAAATAAGAGATAACCACAGCAAATGAAGGATTAAACTGGGAACATGTTTGCTTAAACCTAGAGTAATTTCCAGTTACCATTGTTTGATTTCCAAGCAAACAGTTTGTTGCCAAATTAGAAAAGTTTGTATCAAATGACCTGAATCTGATTACAGTTAGAGGTATATTAGGATAGTCATGTTTGTAATAATTAATAAGCTTGGTTTTTATGGCTGATTTGAAATGCAAGTAATAAATTTTGTGTATTTTATTTCTGCTATGAACATCTATTTCAACCACAACTTTCACAAGGCTTTGCTTCACTCATTATCTGTGGAGGTGCTCAGGCAAAATGCTACAAACCTGGACAGGTCTGAGCTTTCTCTTTCCTGAATTTCAAACTGCTGAAGGCACCTTTTAAACAAAATGTGTCTCTCAAAATCATTCATCAGGATGTTTCTGTTACTTTGCACTAAGAAGAGGTTCAATATTGTTTCAAATAAATATTATTTTACACTATTTTGTTCCTCTTGTTAAGTTCTGACAGTCAGTACAATCATTCATAAATATATGGCTGAGGACAAATACAGGCAGGTTGTATATAAGTTGTACCTATTTTTTCCTATACACCAAGAAGTATTTTTTTATCTACTTTTGTATTTTCTAGGCCATTCATGCATCTTTCTTTTTTGTATCTTTTATATCTATTTGTACATGAACTCCTGGTTACCATCCTATTCATTTTTCTATTTATTATTATGCAGAGGAAGATAGAAAAGAAGATAGAAATTAATGCTGTCTTGCTGTGATGTGATTTCAAATTTATACCAGAATTAATTGAATATGGCTGTGCTACTCACCAGTGGGTGACTGGTCATGAATGATGAATTGCAAGTGGAGAATATATATAATCCCAGAGTGACTCCAAGAAACTAAACAATTACTATTTGAGGTGTAGCTGAGAGGGTTAGACAGTTTCCAAACAGTTAAATGGATAATTTTGTATCCTTCCTATACACAAGCCAGAAGTAATTTTGACAATTACTTGTGCACCTCAAGATTCAGATAACCACCTGGTTCCTCCTAATTGGCCTATGATGGATGGCAGAAAAATCCTGCTGGGAGAGTTTTATCTGGTACAGAACTGAGGCCTGATATGAAACTCATTGATGTCAAGAAGGGCCTTCCAAAAAAACACCAGATCAAAAGATGTCTTTTGTGGAACTACAGGGACACAGTGTTGCAAACAGAAAACAACAAAATAAAAAAAATCCCACAAAATTATCTTACTGCTTTAGTATTGGCTGTGGGATGGTACTAAAAGCACATAATCCAAAAAAGAGAAGACTTTATGTCAGAGATATCTGTCACCAGGTGACGCCAGCAATTAGATTTTTTCATTTAGCTTTCTTATGTGTTTTATAACATTTTAATACATACTTCATGCCTAGTGTTTTGTGATGTCTATTCTATGTACCAGGTGAATAAATAAACCAATAAAACCATGTAATTTACATTTTTGTAAGTATAGCAGTGGAAGAGAACAATTAGTCTTGCAAGAAGACTTTGGGGTTGCAATGATAAATGTTAACAACCCTCGAAAATCATCTTCTGGCATATAGAGAAAAAAATTAATCAATTACCAAATACTTGTCATTTTACAGAGTTTTCAATCATTTTTTAACCATACCAGTCGCTAACTTGCCAATTGGCCTTTGTGGATGAGTTAATAGTCCAGATACTGTCGTGAACTGCCAGCCAGAAACAATGAAGTTGCCATTTAAGGATGTGTGGTGGAATAAATTTCTTGATAGGATTATAAAATGGAACACATAGAAAACAGGTCTGCAGACAGATAGCCTGCAATTCTCAGGAGGAGAATTGGAAGCAGAGGTCACAGTCCCTTACAACTAGCCCTTCCAGACATTACAATGTTATCCTGAAGGTAAAATAGGGTGAGTGTTGGTGGAGATTATTTGGATTGAAAACCAGCAGATTTTTGTCATATTTTTAACAGTATATTGATTTTAATTTATGTTGTTAGCCTGAATAATTTAGATTATATCAAGACCGAAGATTAAATTTCAGGAACTTTCCTTTTTCATTAAATGCTTCTCTTAACTGCAGGTCTGCACTTGGACCCCATTTAATGTTTTAGTTAGGTTTAATATTACATTAGAGCATACAGGCCAGCCAAAACACAGCCTCACTTAACATCTGGCAAATAACTAAGCCAAATAATGAACCTGAAGCACTCCTTGTTGGAGTCTCTCTTTCAAGTATGTGAAAGGTGATGGACTTGTTTAATGAAAAAAAAGCCAACACATATTTGCAAACAGAGAAATTACACGACAAATGGATTTTAATGAAGAAATTTCCTTTAGGTGATGGATGACAGGTCCTCATAATTATTTGCAGGATGAAAAATAGCTTTCTTAGAAAGCATTTAAAGAGGGACAACATTCAGGATTGACCCTGAGGTGTCCTAGCACAGATCTTTTCTGTTCTATTTTCCATTTCTGTTCTTCTGTTTATCAGTGCTTTTTCAATCCCTTTGCTTGGTGGAAGGGAAGAAATAGATGAGTTGAAAATCATCCAGTGCAGACTTTCCTCCTGTGGAAGAGATTAGCAAAGTGAAGCTTATAAAGTCTTTGTAAACAGGCTGCATACTTAGAAATCATAACAATTTTTTAAATGTAATGAGGATTTTCATTGAAAATAATTTTGTTCTCTATTCCCTTTGCCCTCCAGAAGCAACCTTTTTGGAAGTCCTTTTCTCTATTGTTTTTAGATGTTATTTCTTTTTTTCACTTCTTCCATGCTTTTGAGATAGCTGCCAGTTCTCTGTCATTGCTCCCAACCAAGTCTGTATCTCTTTGAAGTCACCAGAATGTCATTATTTCAACCAATGCAAACTCAGTTTATCATCTTTTAGGTTCCTATTTTTTACTTCTGCTAGGTCTCTTATTGACAAATAAAACTTGGGACCTGTACCTGCAAACATACCAGACTTCCTTAATTTATTTTCCAGTTTACTACAGTAAAATTTGGGGTAGTTTGGGATAGGGAGACAGGAGAAAAGATGGAATGGGAAAAAAGAGAGTTTGGTGACAGGAGGACAGCTCACACATAATGCAGTGGCTGTCTCAGGACTAGCTTTACACATTCTAGTCAACATTTCAACAACATTAAGTTACGTTCAGAAAATATTCTGTACTTTGGAGAATAATTCTGCCTGTAGGTGTAATATTAACTATTTGATACTTTTTGCATACCTCCCTCATTCCTTTCTAACAGCTTGGTTTCAAGTTTCCCAAACTTCCACAGATTCTTTCTGACTTACATGTTTTGATTCTAACTCCTTATGTCTGTATTTTTTGGATTGAAAATTATATAATTTATGGTAAATCCAAGAAGCTGGAAGCAGCACAAATATCTCAAAAAATGGAACAGGATCTTCATCATGGCGCTAATTCTGACCCTATTCAGTTCATAAATCATTATGGAACCTCATCTTTTACTTAATAGTATTCTGTGAAAAATGATGTCAGCAAATTGCTTCAGTCCTTAGACTTTGGGCCAATTAGGAATAACAAATCACAAATTGTGGGTGTTCAAATCTCCTTCAATTCTCATTATGGAAAGTTTTGCTCACTACTGAAAAACTGTTAACTATACCTAAAGATATGCTCTTCAGGGCCAGTACAGGACATTTTACCACTCGGTGAGAACACAAAAGTGGATTTTTTCCTAGATGTCAATGGGGAAAGTCTTTATATACAGGTCTGCCTCTGGCCATACACTGGGCGTGGCAGAGCTTACAGAACCAGTTTAGATTTGTGGTAGAGTATTTCTTCTCCCTCAAATTCTGCCAGGAGATGTATGCACAGATAAGAGGTGCAAGAATGAGAACCCTAAGCAGATGTAGGGACAAAAAGGAAGCAAAACACCTTTGTGGGAATGGCCTTTGCCTCCAGCAGGTCTCAGAAGACCTGATGGTACTCTGGGTGGAACCCGTCAGATCTTCTCATAGGGGGAGCTGAAACCTACTAAAGCCTATTCTGAAAGGAAGTTTGCCCTGCCCTGATCACAAGAATTACCTGTGGAACAGTCTGTGCAGTCTGGGAAAGCTGCATTTCCTTACTGTAGACCTCATAAGCCCTATACAAGCAGTCATGTGGATTTAAGAACCCTAAAAGTTTGAATAAATGTCTTTTAATGATTAAATAATTGCCCCCTGAAGCACCCCAAAAGAAGCCAAATGAAAGAGGAATCACCGTCTACAAAAGATTAAAACAAAATTTCAAGTTCCTCAGCCAACACATTTTGTAGTTTCTATGAGCCAAAAAAAAGTTAGGAAAACTTTCAAGAGGTGAAACTGTTTCCTTTTTTGAGCCCTCCTGTCTCCCAGACATCTTGTTGAATTGACTTCAAACTTTCCATTAAACTTCTGCTTTGCCAGAATAACAAACTTCTGAAATTCTAAGCAGGTTGGTTTGGTCTGGTAAAAGGTAAAGAGCTAAAAATTCTGCCCAGGAGTAAAAGCCTGCTGCCATCTTTAGTAGAGAGAATATAAAATGAGAAATCCAGCCCAGCAAACTAAGAGCATTGGTTGTGTACATAATGTTTATTTCTGAGCAGTAGTATTTAGTGCCATTTAGACTGATGTCAGAGCGTTAAATCAAAGTTTTACTTAAATCACTCCTCTGGACTTTGAACTACCATCTGAAACAAGCATTCTAGCAAAAAATACGCCACCTTTCTGTTTCTTAAGTGCTGCTGTCAGAAGGACTTGATGCCCTCATGATTTGCATAATCACATGGAAATATTATTCTTAAAGTTTATTTATAAGTTTTATTCCTAAAATCAAGTAGCACCCTCTACTGGGCAGTAGATCTTCTTCTGGGCATATTGATCTGTCACTGAAAATAAAATATCTTGCCTTAATTAAAATGCCTGCATAATTATCTATGCTGGAAAATCAGAAAATGTGACATTAGTGTAGAAATGTCAGGGTGAGTGCAAGCACATAAAAGCATAGAACCATATGTGAAAAACTATATACTGTATTTTGGAATTCAGCTCTATGAATTTCAACTGAGTTTGGCTATTTATCACCAAAACAGAGTTGGTCACAACTTTTTTGGTTAGTTTCATATTTAGATTTCATCAGAAGCTGAAAGCCTGAGCAGAAACCCATGTGTTCCATTTGTTGGCATGGATATTTTCTGTCCAGATAAGTGAAGGTATACGGCTTTTTTAGAAATATTTGGAAGGTTAGCTCATGGTCCCTTCCAAGGTAATGCAAGAGATGCTTATGTTTATTCTGCAGCACTACTGAAGTGCTGTGGTTTTAGTTCAAGACATGCAGCAGGCAAACCAGACAGATTGCCCTTCCTTTCACTCCACTTCAGAGCCCTTAGTGGGTTCTTTCAAGGTTAGAAGAAATTTGGTTCTTAATGTTTTAGCCTCCATAAATGCCTGATATCATTTGCTCACAGAACCTGGCAAATGCCTCTGTCTGATCTCTCCCAGTTGCTCTCATTCTCTCTCTCTCTCTCTCTCTCTCTCTCATTCTCTCTCTCATTCTCTGTCTTTAATGAAGCTTCATCTAAATGTCTACTTTATTCCTTGTGTTCTGTCTCTTTTTCTGTCCCTTTCCAGGAGTTCTGTGACACAACTGACCAGAAGCACCATATTAGAGTCTAAGGACAGTTTGTCAGAAGAGCAGTTGTGCAGGAATGACCTGGTGATGTGGCACTTGGCTGAGAAACCAATCTTCTGAAAGCCAGCTCTGAACAGTGCTGAAATCAGTGTCTTCCTGTCAGTCTAGGGCACCTTGGATCAGGCCCATGTGCACATCTGGATGCAGTTTGTTCAAAAGTGCCTGCACTACCCCACCTCTTATCTGGTATCACTTTTTATGGGATAAAGGAAAGCTTCAGCCTTACATCTGATGCTCCACTGTTTCATGATTCTTTTACAGTAATTAGATTAATATGTGACTTTCTCATCTGTTTAATTTATTGTTGCCATTGGATTTAGATCTTTTTTCTCTGCTGTCAGTATATTAACCTCAAAGAATGTGCAACCACTAGTTTCAAATGCATTAGTTGCTTTTGGTGATTTTGGTGGGGGGCTTTTTGTTTTGTGTGGGTTTTTTAAAAGGAGGAATATATACTTTTTCCTGGGCTAAATATTCTAGCTCACAATATTGTCATTGAATCAGATAAAAGCATATCTGGAGGAAATTAACTCCTTGGCACACCTGATAGAGAAAATTTTAGTAGGAAAAAAAAAATCTAACTTAAAACGTTGATGTAAATCATAGCAAGAGTTAGTCTGTATTTGGTAAATTCTGATTCTTTATTTCTTGCACCTATCACATGGAAATCCATGCAATTATTTTAGAAAGTTCAATTTCAAGTATTCAATAGTTTGAGAAGATTTTATTCTCACTAGTGCACGGTTATAGATGACAGAAGGAGCAGGACAATGTATTTGCTCTTCATGGCTGGAAATTCTTCAGATTTCAAAGCTGGAAACTTTTAGAAGCAGCTACTCAAATGTATCATGGAAGAGATAATACCCTCTCTGTTTGCCTTAAAAATGTGGCCCATGAGTAATGTCAGAACACTTTTCTTTTACTGAAATATGACCTGATTCTGTAACTCTAGCTTTACTTAGGAAAAAATTGGTTTGTTAAAGAATTCACACAAGCCTATTTTCAGTGGTTACAGAAATGGGTGTGGAATACAACTTAAAATAAGGTACAATTTTGTCCTTATGTAGAAGATTTTAGTAACATCCACAGTAGAATCAAGTTATATTTTTGTATTTAAAATGCAATACTGACATGTTTTTCAAGGCATATGTTACATATAATTTTGTATTATCCTTTGATGTTAGTACACAGTGGTAAAAAATTTTCAAGAGTGCATAGATTTGGCATACTGAGAAGAAAGATTTAGAATATGATTGCTTTGAGTTGGAAAAAAAAATTCAAATAATGAGATTTTCCTATATTTGCAATTGGAAATTGGCTGGAATTCTTCACAAAACTCTTGGATTGCACGCCTAACCTGCTTGTACCTGTAAGAAAATCAGATTATTCTTATTCTTGTAATACCTTAGCCATCCATCCCAAAGAGTTGTGAAATACAATTATCTCCAACATGTCCATATAATTATTTTATCCTGGACTTTTGAAAGCATTTTTATGTCTACCATAAATTGTAGATTATTTTATTTAAAGCTCTACAGAGGAAGGACATTTGTAGTTTGTACTATGATTTCAAAGCTTTTGTTCCTTGTAATCCAAAGCAGCCCTTTTCAACTTTTATACCATTAATGAAGAGGAATTCTAAAGAAAATAAACCACCTTTTGAAACATACAATACACGCTATTTTTTGGGAGATATTTTTGTACTGTAATAATGTATTTTTAAATTACAGCATTAAAGATTAATTTTAAAGAAAATTTTGAAAAGAAAATTTGTATTTATCAGCTCCTCAATTTTAATTAATATGATGTATATTTTTCATTTATTTTCCTAGATTTTCCTTTCAGGCAAAATTTCTTCTCTCCTTTACACAGTCTCTGGACACATTT